TCTGTCCCTCAGCTCTTCAGCTCAAGGCGAGCGCTCTACCACTTGAGCTACAGCGCCACTCCCGGTTTTCTGGTGGTTTATTGGAGATAGGAATCTCAAGGTCTCTCCTGCCCGGGCTGGCTTTGAACTGCGATCCTCAGATCTCAGCCTCCTGAGTAGCTAGGATTACAGGCGTGAGCCACCAGCGCCCGGCTAGCTTATTATTATTTTTTTTTTATAAAAACACCTTCATTTTGCTCAAAAGGTTATTATTATTTTTTGAGTTAAATCTCAGGACCTGTGAAATCAGATCAGTTTGAGACACCCCTGAATTAAGATGTTTTTCTTGCCAGCCTCTGGTGGCTCACACCTGTAATCCTAGCTACTTAGGAGGCTGACATTTGAGGATCCTTGTTCAAAGCCAGGCCAGACAGGAAAGTCCAGGGCCTTCTTTTCTCCAACTAAGCTAAAAAAAAAAAAAATGGAAGTAGCACTGTGGCTTGAAGTGGTAGTTTGTTTTCCTTAAGCAAAAAGAGCTCAGGGACAGTGCCCAGGTCCTGAGTTCAAGCCTCACAATGGACAAAAAAAAAAGAGAGAGAAGGATAATTTTCTTTTTTCTTTTTTTTTTGGTATGGTCATGGGGCCTGAACTCTGGGTCTGGGCGCTGTCCCTCAGCTCTTTAGCTCAAGGCTAGCGCTCTACCTATTGAGCCACAGCGCCACTTCCGGCTTTCTTTTTCTGCTTATGTGGTGCTGAGGAATCGAACCCAGGGCCTCATGCATGCAAGGCAAGCGCTCTACCACTGAGCCACCTTTCCAGCCCCGAGATAATTTTCTTTTGGGGCTAAATGAGTGGCTCAGGTGGTAGAGTGACAGCCAACAAATAAATGTGTCAGATACTGTATGAGTCCGTCACTTTTCTCTTATTTTATTCCAGACCTCTGACTCTGACTTCTCTGAATGTAGGAAGTCTAGATTTTTGTTTGTTTTTTAGTGATGGTGTTTAAGAATAGAACAGAGAGTCTGGTAATATGGCTTAATGGTAGAGTGCTTGCCTAACATTCATGAAGCCCTGGGTTTGATTCCTTAGTACCACATTCTACCACTTTGAGCCACAGAACCACTTCCGGTTTTCTGATGGCTAATTGAAGAGTCTCAAGTATTTTCCCGCCTGGGCTGGCTTTGAACTGTGATCCTCAGACCTCAGCCTCCTGAGTAGCTAGTGTTACCTTTGTGAGCCACCAGCACCTGATTCTTGAGTTGTTTTATGAAGGTCCATATACCAGCCTTTTTTGGGAGATTCCCCTCTCCCCTTTGCATGCTGTCTATCGAAACAAAGACCTCTTGCCTACAACCAATGCTCTATTACTCATCAACATCCCCAGTCCAGAGAAACACTTTAGTACTGTATCCTCAATAAGGAATTTCTTTTGGAGTTCCTTTATAAGAGCCTTTTAGAAGCAGCAATGACAGTTCAAGGGCTCAACTACATTTATTTCGATCCATTCTAAAGCAATTCAGGCTCATCCTTGGGGCCCAAGAAACCCTTCGAGTAACTGTTTGCCTTAAATAGCTCAATTGACTGTGCTCAAATCCCTCTGAGGGGTAATGTCCAGGTCCATGCGCTGGACGTTGACAGTCCAGGAGTCTTGTTCCATTGGGGTAGGGGAAGACACAGGAGGTGACAACCACAGTTGGGAATTCCAGGTGCCTTTAAATATTGTAGAAAAAGTGGCCTTTGGGGACCGAGTCAGGAGTCAGACTCCCTGCTTCCTTTTTCTCTCCTCTATCTAGAAATCATAGGAAATGCCAGTGAGTTTCGGGGGCTTGGGGGTCAGAGGTGATGGAGTGGCTCATAGGAGCACCGCCCTGCACAGGGAGTGGACTGGGACAAGATGGGAATACCCAGCAAACGATTCTGTCCTTTTTTTTTTTTTTTAAATAATCTTGGGAGCCTTTTAATCTAGTTTCTGAAATTACCGAGAGCCCGAAAGTTCTGTTTCGAAGTCCAGGGTTAATTTTGTTCAAGAAAGGTCAAAAGCCAAAACGTTGCTTTCCACACCACCCAAACAATCCCGCGTTTGATTCCACTTGTCCCCGCTGGGGTCCCGTAGCCCTGTTTTGGCCCAGCTTTTCCGTCACACCCCTTCTTCCGGGGCTATCGGTGCTTGGCTCCTTCTGATTGGCTCAGACTCTTCCCAAGCTCTTGCTGATTGGAAGCGACGACTGCCAGTTCGACGTCCCTCCTCCCGTAGGCTAGGTTGAGGTAGAGGCGCGGGGGAGAACTGGGGAAACTGGAATTTCCCGCGGAGCGGACGGCGCTTGCTCTCTCCCTACTCGTTTTAATTCCACGCGCTACAAAATATCCGCCATGGAGAAATCTTGGTAATGACCCATTCCCCTGTAATCATCCCAGAAACACATCTGACCCTTGCCCTTATCCCTCCCTCTCCTCGTCCTCCGGGGAAGGATTCTGGGTAACCAATTTTTTTCTGGTCAGCCCAGAGAATTCTGGGTAACTCGTCGCTCCCACCACCTTCCCTGTTGCCCCCTCCCCAGTGTGGGGGACTGACCATTCCTATTACCCGCTTCCCCAACCCCAGAGTCCTAACTTGGAGGACGGACCTGTTCTCAGAGCCAAGTCCCCTCCTCCCATACTAGGAAGCAAGCACCTTTAATCTCTACCTAAATCCAAACTCCTTTCCTCACCCTATCTGCTCTCTTCTCGGGTGGTTCAGAGATGAACCAGGCACGTGAGCAGGAGAAAGGGAAGTCAAAGATTAGGTTAGTTGCTCGGGTGGCAGGGAGCATGGAGGGTCTAGAGGAAGAAGAGTAAGGGGCGCCCAGTCTCCCATCTACTCTAGTCTCCATCCCTTATTCCCCCCCCCCCTTCTATTCTCTGAGACTGCCCGGCAGTCTCATTCTGCTGCCTGCTTCATTGTCTATTTTGCCCATGTAACCTATAAGACACTGAATACCAGTGTCTGGGCCAGCTCCTGACTGAGTTCTACCTCTTTCCCTTTGCAGGCAACAATATCCTTTCTGGGCCCACCCGTGATACCCTGCTGAGGCTTGGTCAGACGTCTACATGAACTGTGGCAAGGGAGGGTGTGACACACATTAATCAGCTGCCATCATCATCATGAACTTTGAGAGTCTGGACCCTGGACTGGCAGAATTTGCCCCAGCCATGCATTCTGCCCTTGACCCTGTCTTGGATGCCCACCTAAACCCAAATCTGCTACAGAATGTGGAGCTGGACCCAGAGGGAGTAGCCTTGGAGGCTCTTCCTGTTCAGGAATCAGTGCACATAATGGAAGGTGTCTACTCTGAATTGCACAGCGTTGTGGCTGAAGTGGGTGTGCCTGTGTCTGTCTCCCACTTTGATTTGCACGAAGAGATGCTGTGGGTGGGGAGCCATGGGGTAAGAAATTTACCTCTTTATGAGGACTAAAACAGCTTGGAAGTCTTTATCTGCTCTCTGCCCATGGCCAGCTCAATTGCTGTTGAATTGATGAGAATTAGCTGAGTCTGTTTAAGTTAAGCCAAGAAGATCCTGCTAAATGACCCAGGGATGAGTTATATAGGTATAAGGTATTCACTTTTGCCATAGTTTGCCCATGTTTTGTTGTTTCTTTTTGAGACTGGGCTTTGCTATCCAGCCTAGTTTGGCTTCAACTTGTGATTCACCTCCATCAGCTTCCTGAGTGCTGAGATTACAGGCCAGTGCCACTATACTTGACTACATCCCATGGTGTGTGTGTGTTTGAGTTGTGGGGCTTGAATTTGGGGCCTTGGTGCTGTCCCTGAGCTCTTTTGCTCAAGGCTAGTGTTCTACCACTTTAAGCCATAGCTCAACTTCCAGTTTTCTGGGGGTTAGAGATAAGAATCCCCGGAAAGCTGGGCGCCAGTGGCTCACGCCTATAATCCTAGCTACATAGGAGGCTGAGATCTGAGGATCACAGTTCAAAGCCAGCCTGGGCAGGAAAGTCTGTGAGACTCTTATCTCCAATAAACCACTAGAAAACCAGAAGTGGCGCTGTGGCTCAAGCAGTACAGCGCTCACCTTGAGCTGAAGAGCTGAGGGATAGCACCCAAGCCCCAGAGTTCAAGTCCTACGACTGACCAAAAAAAAAAAAAAGAGTCCCAGGAACTTTCTTGCCAGGGCTGGCTTAGAACCTTGATCCTCAGATCTCATCCTCCTGAGTAACTAGGATTAAGGGATAAGCCACCCGTACCCAGCCCATTTTATATTTTGAGTAATATATCCATCAGTCTGTAGTCATCCAAATCCATTCTCTAGTGCCCCTCCTTTCTCTTCCATATTTTTATCTGCATATATCTGTGTATCTTACATGGAACCATTTCGACTTCCCTGGCTGATTTTAGTCTGTCAGAGGAGTTACTCATGGTAATTGTGTGCCAGTACTAGGGTTTGAACTCAGGGTTTCATGCTCTTGATCATGGGTGGGGCTCTACCACTTGAGCTGTTTCTCCAGTTCTAACATTTTGCCAGTTAATTGGAGATAAGAGCCTCTTGGATTTTTCTGCCAGGTCTTATTTTGAACCTTGATCTTCTTGTGAATAAAAAACAAAAAACGTTTAAGCTGGGTGTGGCTCACGCCTGTAATCCTAGCTACTCAGGAGGCTGAGATTTGAGGATTGCAGTTCAAAGCCAGCCTGGGCAGGAAAGTCCATGAGACTCTTAGCTCCAATAAACCACTAGAAAACCGGAAGTGGCACTGTGGCTCAAGCAGTAGAGCGCTCCCTTTGAGCTGAAGAGCGCAGGGACAGCACCCAAGCCCAGAGTTAAAGCCCCATGACCAACAAAACAAAAGTTTAAATGAGAGAGGGAGAAAGAGAAATAGAGAGGAGGACTGTGGAATGTAAGAAAGACAGCTGGTCAGTGCAGGATCAGACCATTCCATGGCCTTCTGAAAAAACTCATTTCTAATCAGCTGAAGCATTACCTATTTCAGCACAGTCATTGTAAGGATTAAATAGGGTAGAGTTTACAAAAGCACTTTGTAATGTGTTAAATAAAAGTACTTGCTGTGCATTAAGCAGAAGTACTTTGTGGTACATTAATACATGGCAGTATACACTGGGTGCTGATGCTTCACACCTGTAATCCTGGCTATTCAGGAGGCTGAGATGTGAGAATCACAATTCAAAGCCATCCCAGGCAGAAAAAGAATATGAGACCTTTTTTTTTCTTTTGGTCGGTCATGGGGCTTGAATTGGGCCTGGGCACTGTCCCTGAGCTCTTTAGCTCAAGGTGAGTGCTCTACCACTTAAGCCACAGCCCCACTTCCAGTTTTCTGGTGGTTAATTGTAGATAGGCGTCTCATGGATTTTCCTGCCCGGGCTGGCTTTGAACTATGATCCTCAGATCTCAGCCTCCTGAGTATCTAGGATTACAAGCGTGAGCCACCAACTCCCAGCTTGTGAGACTTTTATCTCCAATTAAATCACAGAAAAAACTGGAAGTGGTACTGTGTCTCAAGTGGTAGAGCACTAGCCTTCAACGAAAGAAGCTCAGGGACAGTGCCCAGGTTCTGACTTCAAGCTCCAGGACAGGGTTTTTTTTTTTTTTTTTTTTAACGATTGAACTCAGGGCATGGAGTTTGCTAAACAAGCACTCCAGGACCAAAAAAAAAAAAAAAAAGCTGGGAATGTGGCTTACTGGTAGAGTGCTTGCCTAGCATGCATGAAGCCCTGACTTTGATTCCTCAGTACCACATAAACAGAAGAAAAGCCAGAAGTAGCGCTGTGGCTCAAGTGGTAGAATGCTTACCTTGAGCAAAAAGAAGCTCAAGGACAGTGCCAGGCCCTGACTTCAAGCTCCAGGACAGGTTTAAAAAAAAAAAAAAAAGATTGAACTCAGGGCATGGAGTTTGTTCAACAAGCACTCTACCAAAGAGCCACACCCCAGTCCATTATAATCCACCAAGGTGACCATTATCTTTACCACTAACAATGACTCGCCCCACGCTGTACACGGCTTGTGCTTTATGCCTCTCTTGTTGTTAGCCAGGAAGGAAGGTTAGAAGGGAGAAAAGCTGAGCACTGCTGAGTCTCCAATTTGTATCTGGGAAGACCCTACCCTTCCATTCATGGTTATCTGTTTTCTTTGTCCCCTGAAGGGCCATGCCACTTCATTTTTTGGGCCTGCCCTGGAGCGCTACTCATCCTTTCAGGTCAATGGCAGTGATGACATTCGGCAGATCCAGAGCCTAGAGAATGGTATCCTTTTTCTCACCAAGAACAACCTCAAGTATATGGCCCGGGGAGGTCTTATTATATTTGATTACTTGTAAGTGGCTTTTCAGTTCTGGACGGGCAAGCGGGAAATTCATAGTGTAAGAAGACTAAAGAGGGAGCTGGCGAAACCCTGGTTTGTCGGTCTACCCTGTCTCACACAGGCTGGATGAAAGTGAGGATATGCACAGTCTGCTGCTGACTGATAGCAGTACTTTACTTGTTGGAGGGCTTCAGAACCATGTATTGGAGATTGATCTGAACACTGTCCAGGAGACTCAAAAGGTACAAGCCCGGCTTGGACACTAGAATGACCCATGCAGAGTCTAAGGGGTGGAATGGGAGCTGTGATTGGCCTGAGATGTGAGTATGACCACTCTATTCCTTTGGTCTGTGGGAAAGATCATGCCTCTCACTGATTTATTTTGCTTCCCTCCAGTACGCAGTTGAGATACCTGGAGTCACCATCATGAGACAGACAAATCGGTTCTTCTTTTGTGGCCATACATCTGGCAAGGTGACCAAGTTCCATTTTTCCTCCCCTTTATAGGCTGTTTTACTAGATATCTGATGAGGTCTGGTTGGACTGAGATGAGAGGACTAGATATACTTTTCTCTCTTTCTTTCTTTCTCTCTTTCCTTCTTTCTTTCTCTCTTTCTTCCTTCCTTCCATGATGATGATGATTATTACTTGTCGGTCCTAGGGCTTGAACTCAGGACGTGGGCACTGTCTCTGAGATTCTTTTGCTCAAGCTTCTTTTGCTCTACCACTTGAGCCACAGCGTCATTTCCAGCTTTTTCTGTTTATGTGGTGCTGAAGAATTGAACCCAGGGCTTCATACATGCTAGGCAAGCACTTTACCACTAAGCCACATTCCTAGCCCTAGACCTACTTCTTGGTCATTATGCTATACTATGAGATTTTCTTGAATTGTGGTGCCTGCCTGCCTGCCTGCCTGCCTTCCTTCCTCTCTCCCTCTCTCTCTTTCTTTCCTTCTTTCTTTCTTTCTTTCTTTCTTCCTTTCTTTCTTTCTTTCTTTTTGTTGTTGGTGGTGGGGTCTGAACTCTGGGCCTGGGCGCTGTCCCTCAGCTCTTCAGCTCAAGGCTAGCACTCTACCACTTGAGTCACAGCACCACTTCCGGCTTTTTCTGCTTATGTGGTGCTGAGGAATTGAACCCAAGGCCTCATGCATGCAAGGCAAGCAATCTACCACTGAGTCACCTTCCCAGCACCATCCTGGTGTTTTCTTTCTTTTTTTTTTTTTTTTATTGGTCATGGGGCTTGAACTCTGGGCTTGGGTGCTGCCCCTGCGCTCTTCAGCTCAAGGTGAGCGCTCTGCCGCTTGAGCCATATTGCCATTTCCAGTTTTCTGCTGGTTTTATTGGAGATAAGAGTCTCACGGATTTTCCTGCCTGGGCTGGCTTTGAACCATGATGCTCAGGCCTTAGCCTCCTGAATAGCTAGGCATGAGCCACCGGCGCCTGGCTTCCTGGTGTTTTCTACAAGTAGGTGCCTTAGAGGCAAAAGTATAATGAGTTCTTTTAGTGGTCAGTCCAGCTCTTGGCTTCTCTTCTTGCCTTTTTTCTTCCAACTGTCTATATTCTAACACCTTAGTGTTTTTGGTTTTTTTCTTTAGGTTTCCCTGAGAGATCTCCGTAGTTTTAAGGTGGAGCATGAATTTGATGCCTTCTCTGGGAGTCTGTCAGATTTTGATGTACATGGCAACCTGCTAGCTGCCTGTGGCTTTTCCAGCCGCCTCACTGGCCTGGCCTGTGACCGTTTCCTCAAAGTGTATGATTTGCGCATGATGCGGGCCATCACACCACTTCAAGTACATGTGGATCCTGCCTTCTTGCGGTTCATTCCTACATACACTTCTCGTCTTGCTATCATCTCCCAGTCAGGTATGAAAGATTAAATAGGGGAGGTCAGTAAGCAAAGGGAAACAAGGCACCAAAAAGGATGTTCCCTATGGGGCTGGGAAGGTGGCTCAGAGGTAGAGCGCTTGCCTTGCATACATGAGGCCCTCCCTGGGTTCGATTCCTCAGCACCACATAAACAAAAAGAAAAAAGCCAGAAGTGGCGCTGTGGCTCAAGTGGTAGAGCGCTAACCTTGAGCTGAAGAGCTGAGGGACAGCGGCCAGGCCCAGAGTTCAGGCCCCATGACTGGACACAAAAAAAACTGGCTCAGTGCTAGAGTGCTTACCTTGCATGCATAAGGCCCTGGATTCAATTCCTCAGTACCACATAAGCAGAAAAAGCCGGAAGTGGCGCTGTGGCTCAAGTGGTAGAGCCCTAGCCTTGAGCTGAAGAGCTGAGGGACAGCGCCCAGGCCCAGAGTTCAGGTCCCATGACCAACAAAACAAAAAGGGGGACAGGCTGGGAAGGTGGCTCAGTGGTAGATTGCTCGCCTCACATGCATGAGGCCCTAGGTTCGATTCCTTAGCACCATATAATCAGAAAAGGCTGGAAGTGGTGCTGTGGCTCAAGTGGTAGAGCGCTCTCCTTGAGCTCAAGAGCTGAAGGACAGTGCCCAGGCCCAAAGTAAACTCTAAAGGCCCCACCCCTGACAAAAAAATGCTCCCTTGTTATTGGGAAAGGAAGTAACCCTTCATTCAGGTCCCAAGGTATCACTTAGCCTGGTTAGAAAGGAGAGCTTTTATCTTTTCTGTGTGGGAGGAACACAAAAAAAGATGAAAATAGAATAGGCAAGCCTGGCACCAGTGGCTCACACTTGTAATCCTAGCTACTCAGGAGGATGAGATTTCAGAATTGTGGTTCAGAGCTAACCCAAGCAGAAAGTCCATAAGATTCTTATCTCCAATAAACTACTCAGAAAATGAGTGCAAAGAGGCTCAGCAACAGTGCCTACCCCCTGAGCTCAAGCCCAAGACTGGCCAAAAAAAAAATTAAATTAAAATGGAATAGGCAAACTTGAGGACTGCTCTTTTCTGGATAGGAAAGCATCCTGTGGTTTATGGAAAGTATCAGATGGAATCTACATCTAGGCATGGATTTGGAGTCCATCTTGCCTCAGTGTTAGAAGAGGATAGAAAATACATAAAAAGTTGTCTCCCTTCACTCTCCAGGGTTTAGTGGGTTTCTTCTTTGCTCTCTCCTAGGGCAATGCCAGTTTTGTGAACCCACAGGCCTGGCTAACCCAGCAGACATCTTCCATGTGAATCCTGTAGGACCTCTGCTGATGACATTTGATGTGTCAGCCAGCAAGCAGGCCCTTGCCTTTGGGGATTCTGAGGGCTGTGTGCACCTCTGGACTGATTCCCCTGAGCCTTCCTTCAACCCCTACTCCCGTGAGACTGAGTTTGCATTGCCCTGCCTCGTGGACTCACTGCCTCCTCTGGACTGGAGCCAGGACCTGCTGCCTCTTTCCCTCATTCCTGTTCCACTCACCAGTGACACACTTCTCTCTGATTGGCCTGCTGCCAACTCCATTCCAGCTCCCAGGTTGTATATCACTTCTGGGTCAAAAAAAGGGAGGAGGAAGCCGGGCACTGGTGGTGCATGCCTGTAATCCTAGCTACTCAGGAGGCTGAGATCTG